CTCAGTCGCTGGCCGCATTACCAAGAAAGTGCATGACGTTGGGGACAGAGGCAGACTGCGAAAAGTCGGCGATCAGAACCTGCTCATCGCCCTCTACTAGCCGGGAGCGTAGCAGCACAACAACGGCTGACGAAGATCGACGTAACGGCGACGAGGAAACCAGTCATCAACGGAGTCGCAACCGGAGAAGAGAAGAGGAAGACAATACGATGCCACTGCAACAAATCAGAAAAGGCTCCACGAAAACGACATCGACAGTTGGAGCTTACAGTGGGGAATTGGAATATCTCCTCACTCAGAGGGAAAGAGCAAGAGTTAGTTGATAAGGCCATAAAGTGCCAAATCGACAATGTTGGACTCTCGTCAACAAAGCGACAAGGCCCTGAAATTCTCAACATATGCGGGTGGAAGTTATATCAACTCAGGTGTCGATATCACGACTCGAGCTCAGGCCGGTGTTGGTGTTCTGGTAGAACCCAATCTCGCAGATAGAATCCCTGATTGGAAGTTCGTCAGCGGAAGGGAGTAATCGAAGGTAATCCTCCGGCTGAATTTACAACAGAATAAAGCGTTGACCTGCTTAGAGGTACATACAGCCAATTTAGAAGGGGAATATGATCAATTCCTGATGGAAGTTGAGTGCGCTCTGAACAAAGTGACGAATATGGAGTCCCTTATACTCATGGGCGATTTTAATGCGCATGTCAGAGTGTAGACGCTGAAAAGTGGAACGGCGTGATTGGGAAAAATGGCCTCAGCGAGCTCAACAATAACAGCAAAAAGTTGTTGCGGTTTTGTGCAAACAACGGATTGTCCATTATGAACACCTCCTTCAAGCATCGGAAAGTGCATCAGTACACCTGGTACCGGGAAGCTCGTGCACAGTAGTCGATGATCGCTCATTAATGGATGTTCGTGTTAAAAGAGGCGCAAAGCTACCAACCGATCATCACATTGTTGTTGGCATGTTGCGCTGTAAGAAATGGAGTACCATACAAAGATCCGGTGGCAGAAGCAACCGGAGAATCAAATGGGAAAGACTGTCTTCAGTGAATACGAGAGCGAAATTTGCAAACAACATCGCACCACGGTTTGAACAGATCCCAGTGATGACAACTGATCTTGAAACCGAATGGCAGCTCTTTAATAGCGGCATACTCGAGGCTGCAGCCGAATGTTGCCGAAATAAACGGGTTGGCCTGCCGCCTGGAGTTCAGAAAAGATCTTCATGGTGGACACTAGAGGTACAACTGGCAGTCAAAGAGAAGAAAGCAGCGTTCAAGAAATGGCTTGGAAACAAGGAGCTATCTACACGCGTGCGATATGTCG